CAACGGACACCATGGGCATCAAGCTCCTTGACCAGCAGAGGATGCAGGAGATCTGGCACACCCAGCAGCGCCACTTAGAGTGCATCCAGGACCCGCCAGGTGTACAGCTTTACAGGAAGACAGGAGAAGTGACCAAGGGAGGCGTCATTCTTCCCTCGTACCGCTGTGCACGTGGCTCAACATCCCTGGAGTCGTTCCACCTGCACTTGAATCGCTTCGTGCCAGGTTTGCATTACACAAAAATAGCATCTGTTGTTCATTTCTGTGTGTGTTTGCACTGTATGGTTTTTTTCATGGTGATCTGAATTTGTTTTTAGGTACAAGAGCAAATGCCTTGCATTTTCAAGTGTACCTGTTGGAAGGACTGGTTCAGTGGAACGAGGCACGTGGGGTCGCTGCTGTCGAAGGTGCTAGTAGGGAGGAAATCTGCTATGGCGGCCAGCTGATGCAGTACTGCAATGCACTGAGCCAGCAGCTTCTGGGTCTGAAACTGGCAACGGATTACACCAGCCCCGGTGAATACACAGGTTTTACTTTTGTGTTCATGCAGACATTTTACTTTAGCTGTATTTCACCCATGTGTTTTTAAAACATCTATGTGGTACACTCTGTGTTTCTACAGGAGAGCTCATTGGTGTGGAATATTTGTATTCCCAAACCAGCAGAGCGTTTGAGGAAGACGTAGGTTTAGATCCTGATATTCCAGATGGGATTCGGGATGAAGACCTGCAGGATGATCTGGAGGGTGATGATGAGGGGTTTGAGGATATATGCCTTGATGAGCCCATTGAATTCATGGAGCTCGAGGGCACTGACCTGAAGCCCCCTCAGGAACAGACAGCGGCCCTTCACCCTCCTGGTCTGTCCTCATCCCAGACGGTCTCAGCAGCTGAGTCTTCCTCTCCTGCCTTGTCCACTCAGAGCCAGGTAAATTAATAAACACACTGTGTACACTGAGATTGTATGGTGTGTGATGATGTTGATATTTCATTTGGGGTTTATTTTGTAATAATGAATGGCTGACTGTAGATTATCTCACTTATTTCACAGCTATATGTAGATTAAAAAAAAAAATACTTTCATGTTGGTAAATTTATTTGATGATAGAGGATCTTATTCATTTCTTTTCATGTACAGATGGAGAGTGTGGGACCAGATGGGCAAGCTGGTTATGACCACGTTATTCACCTGGCCAACAGTCTGGTTGCCCTGCGCCATCAGGGGTTTGTCACTCAGGGTAAAGTGGATGAGATCGTCATGCTGTGGAACAACATGTCAGATCATGACAAGGCCCCTCTCGTCTATCCCCCCCGCCACCGTGACAGACAACTGAAGGGTCGCTTCAAGGTCAGCCACTCAAAGACCAATGTGACCCCTGGCACTGAAAGTCTGAAGAGGTACTGGTTTCTGTTGTTTTTCTCACTTTCTGTTACTTCGTTACCATTTGATTCTCTTGAAAGTTCTTTGTATCTAGGCTATAATTATAACCAGTCTCGTAATCAGTGTTATTCACATGTTTGATCCTTTTTCACTTTGCAGATGCTTCCTTGGTGCAGGTGGACCAGCTCAGTGGCCCAGCACAAGCCGTTTGGTGGAAGCCATCTGTCTGGCTCTCTGCAGGATTTACCCTGCCGGTCAGACCATTGCCGGAGTCCGGTTAAACCGATGGGCTGCTGTCACAAGGGACTATAGATTGATCCGTGATATAGTCCTGAGCAGCCCCGGAATCATGGCTCGGACCAGTTTAAAACTCTTTGAGCTAAACCAGCTCACTGTCTCCCAGTGGTAGGTTCAGTAATTAATTGTTCATGTTTGCATCTGTTTTCATATTCATTATCATTTTACACACAGATAACAATAATAATTATTGTCTTTTCTGTACATAGGCACAATGACCGTATAAAGAGGCAAGAGAGGGAGGTGTTGCAGCAGGACATTGAAACTTTTACTGCTCCTTTGGTGGCCCCTCAACAACTCCCACCGGTGCTGCCAAAACTAATGGAAACAATACAGCATGGACACTCAACCTTTGAGTTTCAAATACCTCAGGATGCGTCCGGTCAGGCAGCACCGCGTTCTCGAGGCCAGCCTCCTCCAGTGGGCTCGACGGCAGCAGCTATTGCCAGACCCACACCTCAAGTCCATCCAGGCACAGCCTACTCTGACACTTCTGCCTCTGCGTCTGTACCTGTACCTTCTACGCCCGTACCTGTTGGTGCTGCCCTCGTTCCTGTTTGTGCTGCGCCCGTTCCTGTTGGTGCTGCGCCCGTTCCTGTTATAGGAGCACATGTTCCAGTTGCAGCGCCAGATGAAAAGAGGGTACCCAAGACCACAGCGTGGCGGCGAAGGAAGTTGGCAGAAGCAGCCGCAGCAGCTGCAGCTCAAGGTTTGAAACCTAAAAAACGGCAAATACCTCAGCAGTTCATTTGCCAAAAGTGTGGCCAGCCAAAGACTAAAGAATTTGGCCACAGCCAGTTCCGGGGCGTCCACTTCTGTGCAAAGGCTTCTGGGAGGACTGTGGCGCAGTGGATGCAGGAAGTCAAGAGTGGAAATACAAAATGAACATGGACACAAAAATGTATGTTGTAAATGTTTATTTCATTTTGAAAAAAAATCATTTTATATATAAATATATATATTTCCTTTTTCTAATGTCTGTGTACATTTCTGCTTTATAGTTATTTTATTGCATACAAGATATAAAGAACCTGTTCAAAATGAATTTCAACTCACTTCAGAAAGCACACTGCCTATATACATTTACATATGGTTGTGTTAATTTAGTTTTTGAAAACTGCACTACTAATTACACTTACATTTATTGGATATTTAAAAAAAAAAGTATAAAATAAATTAGTATATCCATATACTAATGTATAGAGAGGATTGAAAATGAATACCACATTGTCCAGAATCCTTAATTCCATGTGTTATGAGCTAAAGTATAAAAAATTTCATTTTACGTAAAAAAATTTAAAAATATAAAAACTATTTATTTAAATATAATAATCATTTTAAGATATTTGACTATACTTTGAAATATTGGAAATACCATTTGATTTGTTTCAATACCAACATTAACATATTATTTAAATATACCACATTTCATACATTCATTGTAGACATAGTGACAGTGCTACAGCACATGGCTACTTAATAGGCATATGTCATGCCCCAAGAACCACATGGCTACTTATTATGCCAGTGTTAGGTACCTTGCTCTGCCCGCCCCCAAGACCCGCCCCCTTAATAGTCCCACTTCACTTATTTCTCTCATTTTAGCAGGATGAAGACCCCACAACACCACAGGTGACCCCATTGGGGTTTTGGGGTCACCAACTTGGAGTCCAAGGCCTTGGAAGGCTCCCAGGGACCACAGGGGGCACCGGGGGCCCACAGAGAAGATCAGCCAGTATCCTTGCACCAGGCAGGGTTCCCGCGGAGTCTTAAAAAGTCTAAAAAAGACTTAAATTCAGAAAGTGAAATTTAAGGCCTCAAAAAGTCTAAAAAACACAAGTTTAGGTCTTAAATTTAATTTACCCAAGTCTTAAAATTCTTACCTTCGTTAATTTTGTTAATTGTGGTCAAGCGTTGTCCGCCGAAAATAAAATGTTGGTTGTTTTGTTTTCTAGTAGGCTACGTGATGATGATAATCCCATGTGAAAATCCCATTGCGTGATCACTGCAGGTATAACTCCTGTAAAGTAGGTGGCGGTATGTAACCCGCGCCGCCAATAAAGTGAAGGAAGTTGTTTTCACTAGCTACCTGCCCGCCGAATTCGTGCAAGTTGCAACGTTAAGTCGGGGCTGTCGTCGAGCGCGTAGTTTTCAAATATCATGGGGACAGGGGAAGTGTGTGTTTAACATGACTTGGCTCGATAAGGGTGAGTTTTGCAGCTGGTTACAAGCTGTCCCTAGCAATAGATATGAAGCTCGCTGCAAAATATGCAAGAAGATAATACAGCTAGGGACATTGGGTGTGAAGGCGCTCGAGCATTGCGAAAACGTTTACGTGCGGACCGAACAAGATTTGGTATAGCGGACTTCATCAAGAGAGATCTAATTAACACCATTAGCGGACCGTATGTCTTGATGTTCGTTGTTTACTCATTAAACTGCAAGAAAGAGATGATAATTTGGTGGATGATTTAAAAATATTCGTTAATCATCTGTAAATTGTGTAGTCATTTGAATGTAATCATAACGGTCGCCTGAGGGCGCTCAACGACCACGTCATCCGTAAGCGTGAGTTTCTAACAAAAAACAACAGTTTACTAAAAAGAATAAATACATTAAATAATTTACCATTGTTAATTTGTGTTTATTTTTGTTTGTTGTTTTTGTATTTAACCCTTTCACTCGTAAATTTAAAATATTCGAACTGATCCCCCAGCGTGAGTTTTTCTAGGCGACCGTTATTTAGAACCTGTCACTTTAATGTTTCCATGGTGACGCGTCATTGCTTGTCACGTGACACAGCGCAACCACAACAGTGCTGATGAATGATGATCTGCTTTGATGTCATTTTCCCTTTTCTATTCAAAATATTCACAAATGTATTAGCTATAACATGAAACACTGATTGTCAAATATGTGCAAGTGGATGTGTTTTGTTGTTTAAACACCTTCATAACGATCGCGTTAGTTGATCGTTATGAAGGTGTCAGCACAAATCAGCTGTTTGTGCGATGGGCGGCGCCATGTTAGTTTACAACACGTCAATTCCTCAACTTCTCATGAAATACATGAAAGTGGCCGGAGAACTGGGAGAAGAATAGTTTAAAATGTAAAGCTACTTACACAATGTGTATCTGATATGAATAAAACGTGTCGTCTTATTAGAATGGAAAGGATTATTATTGCCGCTTCCATAGACATCAGTCAGTGTGTGTATTTTACAAACTTAAAATATGTTTAAGAATTTCTGGGATCATTCTAATGTTTCTATTTATGTGTCGTGTTGGTCTTAAACTTCACACATAATGGTCTTAAAAGGTCTTAAAAAGGTCTTAAATGTAACAAACTGAAACCTGCAAGAACCCTGACCAGGGGCCATGCTAATCTTCTCTGTATCGTTCCAATTTTAGTATATGTGTTGCCGAAGCCAGCACAAATCAGGATATTTGAGGAGAGCTATTTATACCCATGACCTCAAGCTATGCATTTCCTAGTTGGTAAGTGGATAAACCCCTTATTCTACTCACTTATATCAAATGTGACTGTAAATCATGGTGACATAATCGTGTAAACCTTTAAAAAAACCTATATTTTTAATCCAGCAGTTTTATGTAGGTTTACTGTAGTATTTCCTGAGCTGGCGCTTCTCTGGTTTAGCTCTGATTGGACGTCTCTGTGTGACAGAGGAGCCTTTTGTCTCGTCTGGCACCCTCCCCCGCAGACAAACTTCCTCCGGGGCAAAGAGCAGCCGCCTTCCTCGCAAAAGACCAGAGACCAGGAAACTCTCCTGTGAAAACACTGTGAAATGCTTGAAGTCTGAGAATCCCACAACACTCAAAGACTAGAAACATTTGATCTGACGTCAAGATCAATGCCTGCCTCTATACATGATGTTAAATTGCACATGGCATTGGAGTAATCTAGTTGCAAAATATTAGCTATTTGAACTTTTAAAAGTCTTTAGCTGCACTGACATGCGTTTCCATATGTATATCTTATCTATTAATCTTTCCAGAATCTTAACAGAATTTCTTTCATTTTTCCCTATCAGTTTGTATCTGCAAAGCTTATGTAGGCAGTTGTAGGCTGTAGGTTTTGTAAATAAAGCCATCAGCGCGATGCCAATGACTGTTAGCCATTTCTGTCTAAAAAGATTTAAAAAGGTCTCCCTGAGCAATATGTAGTGACCTGAGAGTAAATAAACACCTCAATATGAAGCATTAGAGAAAGATTCTCTCCTAATGTCAGACATTTATTTCTGGCCCTTAAATAAAATCTAGGAAATGTCTATTAATCAAAGAATCCTGAAAAAAGTCTATGATGGTTTCCACCAAATTATTAAGCGGCATATTAAACGGTTTTCCGCACTGATAATAAAAAAATGTTTCTTGAGCACCAAATCAGCATATTAGAATGATTTCTGTAGGATCATGTGACACTGAAGTCTGGAGTAATCACAGCAATAAATTATATTTTAAAATACATTAAAATAGAAAATAATTACATTCAATTGTAATAATATTTCAGAATATTGTTGTTTTTACTGTATTTTGATCAAATAAATGCAGCCTTGGTGTGTATTTGTATTTAACACTCAAAAGACAATCACTTGTCGCCATCTAGTGGCGTAATTGTTTTTCAAGTTTTGCCATCACAGGAATAAATTACGTTTAAAACAAACTTTTTTAAATCAGTTAATTAAATTTGTAATAATGTTTCACAATATTAATGTTTTCACTGTATGTTTGATCAAATAAATGCAGCTTTGGTATTAAATGCATGTAAAAAAGTAATTGTTTTCCCAGTTTCGCCAGACCCCAAAACCCCCACCTTGAGAAATATTCACTTTTACCAACGAACTATAATTTCACGTGCCCCTCATAAATGGCCATATTACGATTCTGATACGGATAATACATTTGCAACAACCTTAAAGGTGCCCTATAATGTTTATTTTTTTATTTTTTTATAATGTTTCCTGGGTTACCCTTATAATGTTAGTATGTTTTTTAGATAAAAAATAATCATAATTTAGAAATAAATGGCATTTTTCCTAGCCTGCTTTTAGCCTCTGATTTGAACACTCTGTTTGAAGGGGCGTGTCTGCTGTGGGATTCAGTGTAACCGCGGCCACTGCTGTGATTGGCTGACATGCTTGCATATGAAATAGCAACGCATTACATGTGAAACTCTCTCCCGAATACTTTTACTACTGCTATTATACGTTTTTACTATAACAGCTATCGAGATTAACGAATCGTGAGATGTTTTTAAAGTATTTAGATCTATTCCCATCACATAAAATGTTGCCGTGATGAGCATTGAGCAGATGACTGTGTGTTGATCGCGAGAATGAAGATCTTATCATTGCAAAGCAGTTTCTGCACTCTCTTTGCTTTCACCAATGCAAACACGATTATGTAAATACAGTAAATACAGTAAGAGCTTCGTTGTGCAGTAACGTGCGTCATTGATTTCATAACGAGTTTGGCAAGTGTCCAGATAAACTCGCGCTGTGTGGAAAGATTGTTCTTTGATCGCTTTCTGTATATAATTAGTTCACAAATTAAATACGATTATTTTCATCCTACTAAAAGAAACGATGTGAAGCTGATATTTTAGTCACTGGCTTGACTTACTGATGCATAAACAGTATTGAACGATTTTGAGAGAAAGATTACCTGTCTGAACTTGAACAATTACTGATCAGAAAGTGTTGCTTGGTAGCTTGATCCGAGGCCAGCTCTGTATTGGCCCAAGTTGAGGAAACACTCGGTGAAATGTTTGGAAATTTCCAGAGAAAATAAAATTAACCCATTGTTTCTTCAGAGGCCCAGATGAAGGAACTAAAAAATACTTTTGTGTTCATGTGTACATCCACACTGAGCAACTGCCATGCTTCGGCTGCGCAGTTCCGCCTGGCATTGAGGGCTGGCATTATGCAAATATTTGGAGGCGTACATATTAATGATCCTGACTATTGCGTCACAGTCGGTATTGTGTGGAGAACCGACCGTTCTCTTACGAGAGGTTCTCTCGTATTGCGTAAGCTAGCTTACGCTGCGGGAAAGATTCATCTTTGCTGAGATATTGAAGCCAAAAAATTATTTCATAATTTGTATCCATTGACAACGCAGTTCCTCTGCGGCAGACCTAGAGCAGGCTAGCTAGCAGCTCATTGGTTCGCTCAGAGAGAACTGCTTAAGCCTATGGGAGAGCGGGGCTGAACCCGCTTCCAATGAGAGGCGCCCGCGCGCGTCATGGCCCGCCAGAATGGGCGTGGCTATGGTGTATATAACAGTCTCTCCCAGGCTTATATGTTGATTTATTTCAGCGTGAAGCGAAACGCTAGTAGCGCAAGCACGGCCGGGAACGCAATACTCGTTCCCTCTTCTAGAGAGAACCGAGGTTACGTTAGGTAACCGATTCGTTCTCTTACGAGAGGTTCTCTCGTATTGCGTAAGCTAGCTTACGCTGCGGGAACACCTGGTCAACGCCGTGCGCGCTATGAATCCACTCATGAATCCCAGGGTGATACCGGGGGATTTTTAACGTGGAGTGAATGTATTATGAGGCCGGCAGAGCGGGCACATGAAGTGTATACATAAGCATCTATGAGGCCGGCAGAGCGGGCACATGAAGTGTATAAGCATTTAAGGAGAGCACAAGGGGCGAACCGGTTGTGTGAGGGACTCCCAGTAATGCAGCTTCTTAGGGAGCTGGTCGTTAGACAGCTAGTAATTTTGCCTGCAAGGCGGGAACTTCCAAGTTGTAAAATCTGACAAAAGTGGACGGGGAGGCCCATCCCGCGGCCACACAAATGTCATGAATGGAAATTCCACAGGACCATGCCCACGATGAGGCCATGCCTCTAGTGGAGTGCGCCCTGATGCCCAGAGGGCAGGGCAGGCATTTAGATGCGTAAGCAGAGGCGATAGCGTCTACTATCCATCTAGACAGTGTCTGTTTAGAGGCGGCCAGACCTTTGGTGCGCCCCCCAAACGACACGAAAAGCTGCTCAGCGCGTCTGAACGCGGCAGCGCGCGTAGTGTACAATCTCAGAGCCCGCACCGGGCAGAGGAGATTGGCGTCGCGCTCACTATCGGATGAAGGCAGAGCCGATAGGGAAATAATCTGAGCCCTGAACGGGGTACCAATCGCCTTCGGGACATAGCCATGTCTAGGTTTGAGAATGACAACAGAATAATTCGGACCAAACTCGAGACACGCGGCGCTGGATGAGAGCGCGTGAAGATCCCCCACGCGTTTTACTGAGGACAGAGCCGTCAGAAAAACGGTTTTGAGCGAGAGGTATTTTAGGTCCACAGACTCGAGCGGTTCGAACGGGGGTGCTTTCATAGCTTCGAGAACTATAGAAAGATCCCAGATAGGAACCGAAGGGGGGCGCGGAGGGTTCATCCTCTTAGCTCCCCTGAGGAAGCGGATGACTAACTCGTCTTTGCCCAGGGACTGAGCGGGTCGGGGTTCAGAGAACGCCGCGACGGCTGCCACGTAAACCTTGAGAGTGGAGGGGGACCTGCCCTTGTCCAGCATCTCTTGAAGGAAAACAAGCAAAGACGGCACCTCGCATGACCGTGGGTCCAGATGTTTGTCGGTGCACCATTTTGAGATCACAGACCATTTAGACGCATAGAGCCTTCTCGTGGAAGGTGCTCTAGCCTGTATGATAGTGTTTCTTACTCCTTCTGGCAAATCGACGAATAGTCGTTGATCACCCATGCATGTAGCGCCCAGCGCCGTGGATGGGGGTGCCAGATCGTGCCGCGAGCTTGAGAGAGGAGATCTGCTCTGACTGGGATGGGCCACGGGGCTGTCTGCGACAGCTGAGTGAGCTCCGGAACCCAATTCTGACTCTCCCAACGCGGGGCTATGAGGAGCACCGAGTGGCGTGTGTCCCTGATCCTCTGAATTACCTGTGGTAGCAGAGCGATCGGAGGGAATGCAAAGAGCGGGCGGCGAGGCCATTCCTGGGCTAGCGCGTCCTCGCTCCTTGAGAAAAATATTGGGCAGTGAGCGTTCTCTTCTGACGCGAAGAGGTCCACCTCTGCTCTGCCGAATAGCCGCCACAGTATTTGGACCGTTTGTGTGTTCAGGGACCATTCTCCTGAGGAGATGAGGTTCCTGGACAGTATGTCTGGACCGTCGTTCAGATGGCCCGGCACATGCGTCGCTCTGAGCGAGAGCAGGCGGCTCTGAGACCAAACTAAAATGCGGTGTGTCAGTAGGAAGAGATTCCTGGACCTGACACCGCCCTGACGGTTGAGATAGGAGACCACAGCCATGTTGTCCGAACGGATCAGGACGTGGTGTCCCCGAATGAGCGGGAGGAAGCGCGAAAGCGCGTTCTCGACCGCAAGCATTTCCAGACAGTTTATGTGTAGGGGGCTTTCCTGTGTCGACCAATGGCCGAAGG